TTTTTCTATTTCTTAGCATATTCCAGATTCTTTTCTGTCCTCCATATAGGTCGTGTTCCATATCGGCAGAGAATTTTTCCCAATGCTGTCGTTTACTTGACTGGATTTCTGCATTGACCCGGTTTATCACCGCTTTATATACTTCGTACGTAATTGTGTTCGATCGGTATTGCAGGTACGCTTTACCTCCTGTTTAAACCAAGGTTTAGTGTTTCCTTTTCCGGTTCTGGCTTTAGTTCTTCTTCCAAGTGCTTCTTCGGCTGCCTTTAGTAGATTTGTGCGTAATTTATTCCATGCCATTTCCACGTCGTCGTCATTTTTTATCCCATTATTTGCAATCTTCTGTTTCAGCCTTTGTTGGTATAGATGTTTCGTAGAATAATTTGCTAGTGCCTCCATATTGAGTTTACTGGTTGCTTCGTTCTGTTTTTTCTTTATTTGGTATGTCGTGACTCTTATTTTTGCCATTACGAGATTGTGATTAGTAACAGCATTTGCGGAACTTAAAGCTCTTACGTCCAACACTTGGGAGGGGTGAATGTTTCTGTTTGTTATTATATAATCTATTATGGACTTTTGTCTTCGTGTGTTTTCAAATGTGAATTTATGTTGCGGTTTATGTTGAAAGAATGTGTTGGTAATTCGCAGTTCGTTAAGGGCGCATATCTGTATAAGTTGTTCACCGTTGTCGTTGATTGTTTCTTCATTAAATCGGTTTTTGATCCCCACTATTGTTTCATTGCCAATGCTTGCATTAAGATCTCCCAGGATAATTACTTCATCTTGCTTTGGAATACCGCCGAGGGTTCTCTGCAAGTTCTGGTAAAAAGTGTCTATCTCTGATTATATGACTTCTTTTGCTCTTCTGAAGTTTGACAAAAGAACAAAATGTGTTTTCAAAAAAGTATAATGAGAAATTCTTATTATAAAGAACGACACAGTTTGGCCGCAACCTGGCCGAGTTCTTCGGTTGATTTTAGTTTTGCACCTCCGTTATCACCTCAGTTGGCAACCTGCCCTGAAAAACACCGAAGTTCTGTGGAAAAACTAGTCTTCAGGGTAACTAATTTATGCATGTGTAGAAAACAATGAAAATAAAATTCACTGAAACTCGAGAAAACACTTTGTTTTTTTCGCAGACAACCGTGTTAAAGGGTCATAATCTTTTGAACAAGGGTTCTGATACTGGAATCTTGCACTGCAAAATCCCTAGAGTTCTGAGTCACCCTGTATGTATTTTAGAACAATTCACGTTGTTTATTATTTTGGTTTGTGTGAATGAGTGCGGAACATCATTTATTCGTAGCACAATTTCGAGCTTCCACCTCCTCATGGATGAGCAGCCCACATACAAATTTCTGCAGACGTAAACATGACTAGACAATCAAGAAAAACTCTGAAAAAAAACAACCTTTACAAAGGATATTATTGTTGAATGTTCCAGCAATTAGGTATTGAAATTTTTAACCAGGCATCAATTTCTTAAGGAAACGCAAGGTCGTATGAACAATTTACAACCTTCACATCTCAATTATTTCTAGGTAAACGCGCATCAAAACAATTATGAGTCTTTTTTGCAAGTTAACATATAGAAAAAGCACTTAACGTGCTGTTGTGAGTCATGGTAAAATTACATTGGTTTATTTGGTACTACAGGCGTCCAATGAAATTGAAAATAATCTGTACCAAACTAATGATGTGTGCTCATCCAATTGCTGTTGATTTTTTTTATTACTGAAGAGCTACATGAGAACCAAAAGCTCGCATGCAAATTGGAAATCCCCGACAACAGGTAATTTGTTGAATAACTAGAACGTCACATGATGATCCATCCATTGCATTTAACAGGAATAATTAAAATTCGATTTAAATTTCTCGTCACGTACTAAAACGGTTAGTGCTTAAAGTGCCTAGTTTAAATCCTGATAAAAATGTATCATATAATTTTCCAGCAAAATCGTTTGGGGCCTTATATTATGAAAGATGGAAAATAAGTTTTTCAAATATTATTTCCTGTTTCATAAAATTTTAAACAACGTATGAAAATCCTGTTTGTTTGCCTTGCCAGATGGCCCGATTTGACACCCGTCGACTTTCTCCTAATACCTGATAAACACATTGGTAAATAAACCAACTAAATTTTTCATCTAGTGAAAATCTTGAAGTTACTGCATATCTACCTTCTACCATTACCTTCTAAATTTTCAACCAAATGACAAACACCCTGAATAAGATGGGAGTAGATACATATTTCGAGATGTGCGAATTTTGGACACGCCTCCAACCGGTTTCGAGCCTATTAACTGCCATCGACTGCGTTCAGCCTGAGAATAACACTTCCTTTCCGTCCTGGGTTTCAGTACAAGTGTGAAATAAAAATGTTTATATCGTTTGTCCTCTTGAACGTATCGTCTTGAAACCTCAAACATGTTTCAAGACAGCAAAGACCTAAAAGAATCCAATATTTACCAATTATGAGTTTGTATGAATTTTAAATCTGATGATGGCGCTGTTGTCTCGCCGAAACGTTATGAAATAAACGATATAAACATTTTTATTTCACACTTTGACTGAAACCCAGAAAGGAAAGGAATATAATAACAATTACACGCCGTCAGGAAATTAAATCAAAATAGCGCTTCCGGAACCTGTACTTTATTTTGCCCATGTATTTTACATCCGCGCCGATGTAGGCATTTTTGAGAAACCTCGTATACAATTGGTAAAAAACTTATTTAAGATTCTAATTTCTTTCAAGAAGAGAGCACATTTGAGTGACCGACCTTGAGACTGACTCACTAAGGTGTCAAAAATAAGGATTAATACCCAATTTTATCAAACTTTCCACATTTCTAGAATGCAGTGTTTTCTAAAAATTGTGAACATTTCGAATTACTACATGGCTTAGTTTGAAAGATGTGAATTATTCAAGGAAAGATCGCAGTTGGTTAAAGACATCCATTTTGAGACTAAGTTGGCAAAAATCAAAATCCGGCACGATTTCCCCGAAATTTTCCGCAACTTTAGAAGCAAGTATCTGCTAAAGATGGTGAAAATTTCAAGTTCCTACTTGCTTCAGTTTAGAAGCTACGATTTTTTAAACGGGAGAGCGTTTAAATTTTAAAACTATTCGCAGCTGTGTTTTTTAGCTTAATGCGTAGCTGTCGATCAATAATATCGTCGGATAAAGATCCTGATCGCTTATAAATAGGGCGAAATGTTGGAATTTTTCGAATCTGTATGATTTAGCGTGTTTTCACTAAGTTTAGTTCATGCCCACGTCAACAGGTGATTTCTTGCTTGTGTGCGATGAAAATATTGTATCGTTTGAGACATTTTGAGCCAATTTAGATTTCTCAAAAAAATTTCAAAAAGCTACTTTACTCGTGAGGCAATCAAATCTAATATCTAAAGTTTTATTTAACGCGAAACACATCGATAATGTAAATAAAACTGTTAGTCTAGATCAGACCAGAAAGAAGAACAATACAACATAAAGTCTGATGCATCGAATATGAAATAGAGAATCCAGCTAATAAAAATTACTTTTCGAACAGTGAAAAATTATAGAGATCTTGAGTAGCGAATAAGAGAAGACCAATCACATGAGCATATGAATAGAGCAGGGGTTCTCAAACTTTTTTGGTGACGAAAACTTTTTAAAGAACTAAATTTTTAACGGAGCCCTAAACCCTAACTGAACTAAAAGCAAAACGACTTCTATATTTACTATTTATTAATAAGGATACAAAGAAAGATTTTTTGTAATTAAATGAAAATTGGTAGGCAGACATAATCGGCTGTGCAAGTCTAAATATGGTTTTTGGCTATGTTTCCGGAAACATCGAAAATCGACGATATCTGGGCTTTTTTAAATGGAAAGTCTCTATTTTGATTTCATATTTGTATTCAGCATTACATTTTGAGTTTAAAATGTCCACTTGTCAACACCCATCTGTCATAGTTTTTGACGTATGTCCCATTTATTGCAAAAAAACTGGGATGCAGAGGTTTATTTGAAAAATTATAACTCCTGAACCATTCCTATTTTTTTATTAAATTTTCAAAGGTTTGGCCGAAATTTTGCATTGATTCTGATACTTTTGTTATTCGTGCGTTTGTTGCGGTGATTCAAAGTTGACAATCAAAAAATGCCTGCAGTACGATTTCTGAGAAAAAATTCAAATTTACGAATTACTTCTATAGCCGACTACTTGCTAAGAAAACAGTAATATTTCTGCCAAAAAATGCCAATAACTCATAAACGACTTGAGAGGAACATACACAATGTCAATAAAAGTGGACTTACAGTATTTTACGTACGTACAAGTTTTTGTCATTTTTTTTTACTGTCAACTTTGGAAAATCTCAGCAAAAGCATGAAACATAACAAAAGGGTCAAAATCGATGCAGAATGTCTGCCAAACCTTTGGGAATTGAACTAAATAATGCCGATTAATTTATTTGCAATGGTTAAGAAAATACGAATTTCTTGATGAACCTGTTTTTCTGCTTTCTGCTACCCTGTTTTTTTGCAAAAAATGGCATGAGTCAAAAACGGTGACAGATAAGTGTTGACAAATGGACATTCTTAACTCACAATGTCTAACATTGTTAAGTGGCAAGAAAACAGATATATTTTTTTGCCCAAAAACTCTAAACGCTACATGATTTTACAAACAGCATAAAATTGTGAATAAATGGTTAGTGCATCAACCAAAAAAAATGAGTTGATTCCATCAGCCAAATAAAAAGTTCTGGTAGTTTTTGTATCAAGACATTCAAGAATTCACCACTTGTCCAAAACGGCTGAACTCTTACATAAGAACAAATTTACAGCGAGTTTCACCAAAATATATCGTACCCTTCTCTCGATTTTTCAAAAAAGATAAGGTTTTTGAAGAACTTTGACCATCAATAGCAGAGAAGCCAGATATTTTTTGTTAATAAAAGTTAGGTCAGATCGTGTTCTTTTGATCCAAAGAATATCGCAGTACCCTTTTGATCATGTGCTCACGGGACACCCTGTATATTGTGGCAATAAGATTTCGGAAAATAAAATTTTTTCTAACGAATGGGCTACGTGAATCACCCTGTATTATTATGTACCTACCAGTAAAATCTATAAGTAGGCGTTTTTTTTCGGTAGTTTATTTTTATCTTCGGTAACTTTATTCATATAGATTCATCTTTAATACATGTACTAATTTTATTGTAGGCGAAGTCCTACCGTAGACTTTACGGGGCACCGGGGCTCCGCGCAGCACACTTTGGGTAACGCTGAAATAAAAAATCTAGCAAATTGACATGATTTTCTTTGGAAATCTTTAGTGGCGAATAAAAGAAGACTAATCAGGCATCGGATTTGGAAATAAAACCGATATAAAATCTTGTAAAACATAGAAGACATCTCTTGACTTGACAGACAATCTGCTGCATCGGCTATATTATCGAGATGAAATAGAAAATCCAGCGAATGAAAATTCTTTTTCGAACTGTGAAAAACTGAGAAGATCTTCAGTAGCTAGTAAGGGAACATCAATCGGATATGAAATCTGATGCAGCCAATCCGGCTAAAAGAAATGTTTTTTTGGAACAGTGGAAAATTGAAGAGATCTTTAGTGGCGAATAAGAGAAGACCAATGAGACATCGAATCTGATGGATCGAATATGAAATGAAATGAAATCGAGATGAAATATAAAATCGAGGTAATGGAAATGAAAAAAATACGACAGGGGATCCAGTAGTTGAACCAGTCTTAGTCGGAAAGCATGGTAACTGCTTCATCGCCTTTGATAATGTCCACAGCAGTTGTGGACGAAACGTCAGGAAGAAATTCCCATGGACCACGGCTTCAAAGCCCGGAAAACATTTCTAAATGTAATGGAAATGTTCTTTCGAACAATAAAAATTGAAGAGATCTTCGATGGCGAATAGGAGAAGACGAATGAGGCATCGAAAGTGACGCATCGCATACGAAATCGAAATGAAATACAGAATCCCTCTAATAGAAAATATTTAACCCACAGTGAGCAATTGAAATTTTTAGTGCCGAATATGAGAAGACCAATGAGCAGGGGCGGATCCAGCTTTAAAGTCAGGAGGCGGGTTATGTAGAAAAAATACAGTCTTCTGTTATCTATGAAATTAGAAAAATGATCGTCGTTTTGTGCAAGGGTGGCGCAAGATTATTGCAAAATT